TGATGGCAGCGGCGAGGAGCGCTTTCCTTCAGCTTCGGCTAATCCATCAGCTGCGCCCCTACCTGGAGGACGACTGCCTAACGACAGTGACACATGCATTGGTTACTTCCCGGTTGGATTTCTGCAACGCGCTCTACGTGGGGCTGCCCCTGAAGACAGTCCGGATACTTCAGATGGTGCAAAACAGAGCAGCCAGGTTGCCGATGGGGACTGGGCGTTACTCTCACATAACCCCAGTCCTCTACCAGCTTCACTGGCTCCCCATCGAAGTCCAGGCTCAATTCAAGGTGCTGGTCATCACCTACAAAGCCCTTAACGGCTTGGGACCTGGATACTTGAAGGGACGCCTGCTTCCGTATTTGCCCTCCCACCCCTTGAGATCGGCAGCAGAGGCCCTTCTCCGGGAGCCCTCCGTGAAAGATATTAGGAGGGTGAGTACCCGGAGGAGGGCCTTCTCTGCGGTGGCGCCCCATCTGTGGAACGCACTCCCCAGAGAGGTCCGCCTGGCGCCGTCGTTATTTGTTTTTCGGCGCCAGGCTAAGACCTTTTCATTCAAACAATATTTTAACAATGTTTAATATTTATTGGTTTTAATTGTGCAGCCAAGGTGTTTCCGGGTTTTTAACTGTATTTGTATGATATTAATTTATTTCTGGGAGCCGTCCCGAGGCTATATAGCAAGGGGACGGCATACAAAAACTTTAAATAAATAAATAACCAAATAAATAAAAGACAACAATGTGGACTAAGGGAGCCACCCCATTCCCCAGTACCAGGTGAGGAGGTGAGGTAGAAGCCCAGCTTGGCCTCCTCCTTCTCCTGCCCGGCATCTTTATTGAAGCCGCCCAGGGTGTAGCACAGATATGAGCTGCCAGGAAAGTCAGCCCAAACCCTGCATTATCCTGAACTACGGTGCGGAGAATTTCACACCAAGGAATGGGCAGAGTTTCACAGCCCTTGTCTAAGAACAGAAAATTAGTCCAGGGTTGGCTCTTTTCACCCAAGAGTCTCAGATTAATTCCTTCTTAAACAGCCATCGATATCCAAAGCCCGAAACTCAGCCTCATCTGCAGTGCAAGCAAGACGAAGAGGAGCACAGAATCTCAGTTCTGCAGGTCAAATACCGCCGATCAGGGGGTCAAACAGGACCCAGAGTTGGAAATTTCTCCTTTCCCCAGCCACCAGTTATCTGTTGGTTTCTCATTCTGGGCTGAAGCGTCTCTTCTAAGGTTTAGTTACTGACATTAAGAGCTTTAAACTGAAATGTCTATTTCTGGTGTTTTAGCTCCTTTACACCCATTCATCGCTAGAATATATTCCCAGATCGTCTCCAGAGGGGAATTTGGCATGAAAAGGGTCCAACATGCCCTGAATTAGGCCCATAAATGAAGCTAGGGAACAAATATCTAAACATCCTGATAGCATAGGACACGCAAAGCTCGATTAATTAAGAGAGCTAAGGTGGCACAAAAGTGGAAAAATTAGAGGACTGCTACAATAGTATCTAAACTTGAGGACCCTTTTTTTATCTTTGACTCAGAAATGGCAATTAATAGGCAAAAGGGGGAATAAATTCTATTTCTACATTGATACTGTCTTGCTTGTGTTCTCGTACATACATTCCTATAGCTCAGCTTCTCCCCTGTAAGGTTGCCCGGATTTTCAGATACTTGGTGGCGACTTGCTTCTCAGCCCTAACATTGTTTGAGGCAAGTTTGATAGGGACATGAAATGGGGTCTTCTCTGGGGCCACCCCTGAGGAACTTCCTGCCTCAGGAAGGCAGGTTGGCCCCCTCTCCACCACCTTCTGCCAACTGGCAGACATATCATTCAGACAGGGCTTTGCAGTTAAAAGCCATTTACCTGGCTGGCACCTGGCAATGCCCTTTCTGATCATTTCTACATTCTGTTCGAACCAAGATTTTACTTGCATCTTCACCTTTGACGAGTACCATTTTTGGCAGAAAAGAGGATGTTACTTTAATCATCAGAAATATTTATTCTGTTTGCCTACAGAGCTTTCAGATTACAATTCCCATCAACTCCAGTAGGCAGGGCCAACTGTCAGGAACTCTCGGATTTGTAGTCCAAACCGTCTTAGATGGCACCAAGGAATTCTGGGGTTTCTGGACCCCTGGTGTAATGTACTGTCTCTCTGCTTATGCCCCAGAAGCTATTGTATTTAAGGCACACCCTATGCATAAGACAGAAGCCAGGTAGACCAGGTCGTGCCAGAAGGATGCTCCTTATTTCTGTGCAAATGCAAAGTCTGTGCTCAGAACCTGCAGACGCATCAAATGCCTGGTAATCCAAAGATAAAATCTAGGTGCCGCGCACACCTCAGCCTCACAAGGGCAGCCGGCCTCATCAATATGAGTCTTGCCTCGTCACGCAGGCCCAGAAAAGCCACAGAATCTGTCTCCGGGAGCATCAGATTTGGTTATTCAAAACACACTAGTCCCTATGAACGTGGGGGTCCACTCAGAAGCCAGCAGCCAGGGCTGGTGAATCTGCTGGCCAAGGGAAATCTGACTCAAGGGGAAGCATTTGTCTGAAGTACAAGGATCAGAACTGGGTGGCTATGGGGGCTGCAGAGGAGGGGCGCTGTAGCCCACCTAGCCAGGGGAGGCTGAGGAAACCCTCAGGAGCACCACAAGTTCACGGAGCAGAAAAATTCCAGCGGAGGTAAAACAGGCACCAGTAGAGCCACACAAGGGGAAGCCGGGCCCGTTCGCTTAATTCCCCTCTTTGGCACAGCTCGCCTCCTTTGGGCGGCTGATTGCTTTCCTGCCTCGTGTCTTTTTTCTTTTTTAATTTGGGCACGGACAGGGAAGAGGCAGGCGTGCCAAAAGCCTGCAGCGAAGTTCAGCTGGCCGGTGAGGCTTAGGGGACCTTCTGCTGATGGCAGAGGGCATGTCAGTCCAGGCGAAGAGCAAGGCTGAGCGGTCCCCGAAGATGGACTACAACACCCATGCTGGCTGGGAGTCATGGGAGTTGTAGGCTGGCGCTGCCCCAAGGAGCGTTTTAGGCAAAACAGAATGGCCACTATCCCACAACTGCCCTGAAGAATTTCAGACACTCCCCCTCCAGACGTGGTGGGACTCCCCCCAGCTTGCACAGGCAATGACCAGGGATGATGGAAACTGTAGTGCAAAGCTGGCAGGCCATGTGTTCCCTACTCCGACCTTAGGAAAGTTTGGGGGAGGGCAGGGTAACAGCACAACCCCTGCATGTCTACTCGGAAGTAAAACCACAATGCGACCGACTTCCCATGGAAGCTCCTACATCAAGGGTGCAAAGGATCCATGCGAAGCTGAATCGGCAGAAGGCTGAAGACCAGAATGCAGAGGGGGGCGACTCGGGTTTGGGGTGCGGGTGTGTGCCAAGCATTGTTACTTGAAATGCAAACCCTGGATGGATTTAATAGCACCAGGCCCTGTGGATGAATTATAACACGGGTTGGCCCTGCTGGCTTCACACTGGGTGCAGCCTTCCAGCCCCCCAGCCTCACAACCACCCCCCAGCCTTGCAAATCTCCCCCTCACTTAGGGAATTTAACCCCGGGGCCCTAAGGAAATAGGACGAAGAGCTGCAATGGATACACAAATGTGCGAAGGGAAGGGGGAAGCGAGCGAGAGACGGGGAGAAAGAACAAGCGGAGAGGACGAGGTAGGCAGAAAGGCCGGGAAGGGATGCAGTGAGAAAAAGACATTGCCGCAACACACAGCACCAAATTAATTCGAGGACAGGAGCAGGAAGAGGCGTGCGAGGAATGAAAATGATCCCAGTGGGGGGGAGGCGGCCGTTAGGGGGGCTTGGCAGCAGCGCCACCTGGGGGGCAAAGCCAGACCCACTCGCTGGCCTTCCAGGGAAAGCAAAGTGGGAGAACCGTTCCGAAAAGCAGCAGGGAGGACGCCTGGCACAGCAAAGAAGCCTCGCAGACCCTCCTAGCAACCCCATCCATGGGGAATTCTTCCAGATCCAAAAACCTCCCATTCCCAGGAACCCCCCAAGATCTATAGCCTGGGACCCACACCCTTCCCTCTGGATTCTCAACTTCTCCCTGCACTCCAGGCCGTCTCCTCCGGCCTTATCCCTCTTCCAGACCCAAGACCCTCCAGCAAGCCTGCGCCTGCAATCCTTTCTTCCCCTGCTGAAGCATCCTTCAACTCTCCCCCCTCCTTGGCTGTAAACCTGCTAATAAATGCATTTCTCCTTTGCCCCGCTGTTAAAGGTTGTGGCAGCTGCGGCAGCAAAGCTGGGTGCCCGGTGGGCCCAGAGCTGAAGCGAGGAAAAGGTTGTTGCCCCGTGGAAATGGGGCAGAACCCCATAAGCACACGCACACGGCCGTGCCCTTCCTTCAGCTCAGGCAGCCAACCTTCTGCTGGCTGGAAAGTGGCTCTCGTCTCCCCCCCCCCCCCACGCACATTCTTCAAGCGTGTCGGGCGATTGATTTCCTCCTCGTGTTTATCGGATTCCACTTAGCCCGATCAGGGTTTAACGCAGGCAAGGATTCCCTTCTCGGCTTGCCCCCCCCTCCCCAAACCAGGTCGATGGCATTGATTCTGCCAGTAGCTCTAAAGCAGACAAGGTCGGGGCGGGGGGAGAGAGAGAAGCAGGGGGATTCCCATATTATAACGAGGTTCCCTTGCTCCAAAGAAAGAAAATAAGAAGGAAGCCTGCCGGGTTTTTTCCTGGCAAGTCCTTCTTGTCTTGTTTTTAATGTGGGAAGGGGATTGGGGATGATGCAGAAACCGGGGGAGAGAGAGAGAGCCACTATCAGAGGGGAAGCAGGGGCGCGACCCCTGCCAAAAAAGGCGTTAAACGATGGGAATGCTGTTACAAGTATTCCCTCTGCTTCCCCCCACCCCAAGACCTGGTTACTAACGAGGGAAAGAAGGGGGATCCTGGGTATGTGAAAAGCACAAGAAAGGGGCTTTTAAAGTGGCCATTTCGCCCATTTCCACGAACAAGAAAAACACCGACAAATTACAGGAGGAGAAGATGGCACTCAAGTTTTATTGTTAGCAAATGTCTCTCCCTCACCCCATACATGGTAACAGGTGTGTAAATCCAAGGTATTGGGGGGCTGGCAGAGATGAGCCCCCGAGGAGTGAGAGGGTTATCGCCTCCTGTGGAAACCTGGAAGGAGGAAAGGGAGAAGAGGGAAAGAAAGAATGAGCCAGTTTAGAAGAGGGGACAGAATTAGAAAGGGTGGGGGTGTTATTTCATGCAACTAGTCCTCTCTGAGGAACTGACACTAATCAGGAAGGAAGAAACTTCAGGATGCTATACAATGGCTTTTGCAAGTCATGGCTGCTGGGTTATCAGGAAATAATTCACACAAGAGACCGATGAGCTAGAACTGTCTCGGGCTGTGATTTTTGGGGGCACGCCCTCCCTCCCACTTTACACACCTGTGGCTGAAACTGGTAGCGCTCAGGAAGAACTTTTGCTACCCCTTTTCTTTTTTCCGCATGGCCTAGAATGAGTGCTGTGTTGAGGTTTGCCAAGAGGGGAAAAAACAGCGCACTTTTCCCACTAGCGCTTACCCTTTTTCTTCTTTCCCTTTTTCACGCCAACCGTCTTCCTTTTCTTCTTTTGAGGGCTCAAACCCTGAAAGGCAAAATAGAAATAAGAGGAATTTCTTTTTAAAAAGTGGAAAGGAAAGCAAGTCACAGAGCACTGGGCTTTCTCCTGAAACGGCAGTTTGAGAGTATTTTTTTATTATTATTATTAGAACATTATTAGAACATTAGAACATTTTCCAGTCCAAGATGTCTGGAGTGACCGTTTCCAAAGCTGAAGGGCCGTTTCCTGACAAAGGGGCCGGTGCAGGTGACTCTTTCTGCCAGGAAGCAAAACGGACCGTTTCCCCGACCGTCAATTAAAGTGAATATGCACAGAACAGGTTCCAGCAATATTTGAACGTGTCTCAGGGAAGAACGGGCACATATTTTCCTCTGCAGCTGAACTTTCTGTGCATCACAGGAGCAAAGAGGAGGTACAGCTAGAACTCACACGAAACCTTTCTGTACATGCCTTGGAACCCTTTGCCAGGCAGGGGGATTCTGCGGCACATCAACACAGGAAGTTGGCACGACATCATCGCATGCCCCTGACATTCCTCAAGAAGACTGGCTCTCCAATCATCAGCTGGCATTTGGTCGCAGCATTTAAATCCCCCACAATACCCTCCCCTCCCATGTAGCATCACTCTGGGGCATTATGGGACATTCAAGGGGCAGCCCTCAGATCCAACTGCATAGCACCAAGCGCCTGCAGCTGTGACAAGCCAGCCAGCGGGGGGGGGGGAACACCCCATAAAACCCCAGGAAGTGGTCCTGGCAGAAAACAGTTCTTGAGGGCAGAAACCTGGAAAAACCTGCATTAGGACAACACTAGAGTCTACACATTCACAGACCAGGAAGTCCAACAATTTTTGTTTGCTGTGCCGATCGTACGAGGATTTGTAGTTTCTATTGCGATGTTAATCACTAGAATAAAAAACAATCCATGCCAGAACACCAAGAAATCCAGACAATTTGGGCTTGGCACACACGATCAAGGAACCCCAGGGTGAGCATCAAGGGCTGTTTTTATGAGGGCATCAATTTTAATCATCTAGAGACAGGGTTTGAAGTATATAGGGGAGAGATTTGTAGGTTGAGAGACAGAGTTATAGGTCTTCCCCTACTATGGGGCAGGATCCACCCAGGAATGGATTCAGGGGGCACAGGAGCCAGGCTTAGGGGTACCAAGAGGATTAGCTTCACTAAATTTGGGGAGACAAGAATGAGTCCTATTCCGATAACCGCGTGTGCTTACTGAAAACCTCACAAAATCCAACCAAGGACCCCTCCAAGGCCCCTGCAGCTGCATCCACTGAGTCGCTCTTCCATAACGCAGTATATCTAAATTACATCACACACCGGTCTGACAGTATTTTGACCGCTGGAAACGGTTTATTTATTTAGAATTTTTGTATGCTGTCCCATTCGCATGAGCCTCGGGACGGCTTACATACAATAAATAAACCCGGTACAACTAGTGCACATAAAATCCAGATTCACCCTGGCTGCAATTTAAAAAGCCTATAGATATTAAAAATTGTTCAAATATTGTTCAAATAAAAAGGTCTTAGCCTGGTGCCGAAAAACGAATGAAGACGGCGCCAGGCAGGCCTCTCTGGGGAGTGCATTCTGTAGGTGGGGAGCCACCACAGAGAAGGCCCTCCTCCGGGTACTTTGCCTCCTAATGTCTTTCACAGAGTTTGAAAGTTTCAAAACTAAGTTTTCAGTTGATTTTTGAAAGCATTCACGCCCGTTGTTCCAGAGATATTCAAAATGGACAGAAGATAAAAAGGAAATGAGAATGATTTGGTCTTCAGCACTCTCGCTCCATATCTTTTCCCCATGGAAGACACGCTATAACACGGCAGCTGAGGAACCAAAAGGAAGGCCAACCGGTGCCTATTGATGACAAAAGCTTGTATGGGGACCGCCTTTGCCCTCTGCACATGGCCCTGAAATCTTTTCCACGACAAGCTGGATCACTGCACATCACTAAAGGTGGGGATGGGAACCCCCGCTGCAGACCCTCCGTGCATTCCCTCCAGGGCTGTCTGGGAGGATCCTCACGGAGGGCCCCACTGATTGTGGGAGGGGTCCCTCTGTGGACATATCGGCGCTCCTTCTCAGCCCCATCTGCATGAGGACGACCCGTGCCTGGCCAGACTAAGCACTCCTCCAGCCAGGCTGGCCAGCATTTTCTGGGAAGCCCAGAAGCAAGGGAAGAACCCGCTGACGGTTTGCCACAGACGCCAGCAGATTTACAGGCACATTAAATCGCCCTAAGATGGAGCCGTGGGGGACCACGTGGCCCATTTCCCCCCACTGTGCGAACCTCCTGTTCCTCGTGCAGAGAAACGGAGGCGTGTGCGACCGGGCCGGCATGTTCCCCGGCGCTGCAGCGAGATCCCCGCTCAGCCAAGCATCCGTCCCACGAAAGACTCACCTCTCCCAAGGGGGCCGTCACCCCCGTCAAAGCGCTGATGTCCCCAAAGTGGGTGAGCGAGCCGAGCTGGGTGCCCAGGACCGCCTCTCGCCTCCGGCGGGCCTTCTCCTTCCGGGTCATGTTGAGCCGGGTCATCATGCTCTCTTCGTAGTTGGTCCTACGTCAGGGAACCACAGAGGGGGCAGCCCCCCCCAACCAGTCAGTGGCCTATGCGGCTCGAGCCGGCAACTCCTAATCCGCTCCAAGGAAGCCGCAAAACCCCAAGCCCCCGCTCTGCGTCGCCAGCTCGCGGCAGAGCCCCCCACCCAGGCCACTCACCGGTGCGCATCCTCGCGGCTCAGCCTGCTGGCGTGAGCGTAGCGCCCCTCTCGGACCTCCTCCGGGGCATCCGAGTACTGCTCTTTCAGCTCCCGGATGATGGAGCTGCTGAGGGCCCTCTTCTTGGCCCGCTCAAGCAACTTCCTCTCCTTCTCCGCCTCCGATTCATCTGCGGCAGGGAAGCCACACAGAGCGGCCGTTCGACGTCGGAAACCACATCCCCCGTGTGGGGCGACCCAGCACAAGGCAGGAACCTCTGCGAGACCCTGGGGCGCCCCCCTGCCCCCCAGCAACACCCTCCAGCAGCTTCGTCATCTCACATACTGTAATGCATAGGCACCAGCCGAGGGGGGGCATATTTTTTGCTTCCTCCTTTGGACAGCCCCTTCCCAGAATCCTTTGCACCACCAGTGTCTTCGCCCTCCTCGTCTTCCGAGTCGCTGAGCTGCAAAAGGGTTTTATTTATTTGATGCAAACAAAATTTATGTGCTGCAAATTACCCTATCAGTAAAAAGAAACAGGTTTCTGGGTTTGAGGCTAATGAGTAAGCCTGGTTTACGAAGTCACCTTTCACAGTTAACTAAGAAGCAAGCCTTAATGTTTCTATAAAACAATGGCCTTTGACCAGTTCTAGAAAATATACCAGGGAGGTAGTTAGCCTCTCTTGAATTGTTCAGAAAAAAATTCCCAGGGGACGGGTGCCACCACTGAAAAGACATCGCTGAGCAACACCTCAGACCTTGTCTGGAATAAGTGCTTTTGCTTTTTACACTGAAACTTATACAAGTTTAAACAGAAAAAAGATTGGAACATGCTGGAAGTTGTAGGCCCCCGTTTCTGCCTCATCGTGCAGAGGACGGTGCCCCTAAAAAGCACAGAACAGCCTTCTCTAAACTGTGCCTTCGGGTCGGAGTGACCGCAATTCACATCCCCTCCCCCAGCCAAGCATACCTTGTTCACCAGGTTGTTGGGATTCGGCTTGAACCTCAGTGGGTCATTTTCACCTGTAAGAAGAGCACCATCCACCCCCCAAAAAGGCCAGTTAAGCTCTAATTCCATGGTATTTCTTTTCCCCGTCCCCTGCCTTAAACCCACAAGCCTCTGCAACTCACCCAGCGCCCCCATCATGGCCGCCTTCACTAGTTTGTCCACCTGGTACTTCAGCTTCTGATCGATGGGGCGCATCTTCTCCAGCACCTGCAGAGATGCGGAGGGCACAGGAGAGACGAGCTAAGAAGGTGTTGCTGCATAAACCGCCACAGTCCACCAGGCGCCGTCCCACCCACCTCCAGAAGAGCAGCTTTCCTGGGACTCATAACGAGCTCTTTCCTAGCTCCACCACCCAAAAATGTTTACCTGGAGAGGCCTAGAGTCTCACCTGAGACCCTGAAAACACATGTGCTTCTGCTCAGCAAAGGAATCTGCGATTCTGGATAGGTGAGGACCCTAGAAGGATCAGCTGCCTCCCCCGACTTTGTGCTCCCTGCAAAGATTCCCCACGCCAGGCCACCACCAAACCGCGCCTCGTACCGTCCGGGTTTCCACCAAGCGCAGCCGGGCCGGATGCTCAGCTACGGAGTGTCCCAAGGTTTTTTCCAGGACCAGATGAGCAAGATCTTGGAGGTAGAAGAGGAGGAGGTGGTTTTTCACTTCTAGGAAACTGAGGCCCTGGGGATGACAGAAAGAGACAACTGTAAGGATGCCATGAGGACTAGAAACCTGAGGTGGCAGCAGTGAAATGGGAGAGACGGGAAAGGAAAGACAGATGGACCCGTCTCCCCTAAGCTGGTGTTCTCCAAAGGGATTGCCCCAGAATGATGGGTATTGTAGGCTCAGCACAGCTGAGGCACAGGGGTGGGAAGGTGGGCAGAAGGAGCGGGACTGGGCTGAGCTGGTGAAATGCCACGTTTGATGGAGAATCGGGAATGTCCCCACTGCACTGAGGACACAGGAATGGGGGCCAGGCTGAAGAGACATGGTCTGACCCATAGTCTGACCCAGAGCAACTCCTGGGGGGGGGGGCTGGGGGCTGGCAGAGGGGCCTTTCCAACAGGCACGGTTTGGACAGCTGCCTGTAAGGAGGAGAACAGCCACTAATGTTTGTTAGGCTTGGAGGAAGCCTGACAAAGGAAAGAGCTGCGGGTGTTTTGAGGAGCTGGGACTGGCACACACAACCAGCTCCAGATGTGTTGGAACACAACTCCCATGATCTGCAGCCAGAATGACCACGGGCTGGAAGTGCCCGCCAGAAAGGGACAGGAATCCACAGAAAGGGGTTTTAATATTGTTTTATTTAAACAATAGTTTAACAACTGTTAATATTATTTATTGGTTTTAAATTCTACAGCCAGGGTGAATCTGGATTTTAAATGTATTATTTATATGCCTTGCTTATTTATTGTATTGGAAGACGTCCCGAGGCTCATGCGAACGGGACGGCATATAAAAACTCCAAATAAATAAATAAAAGAGGCTGGACTGCACATGCACAGAGGCCTCGACAGAAAAAACACTACAGCTAAACAGGTAGGTGATATTTCAGCTCTTCATTTCTGAACCGGACACTTCTGGTGCCTGCCCACAAGATGCAGCCAAGCCATGGCAAGGGCACTTTGCACATGCTCAAAGGTACATGACTGAATTTCACATTATGATACTGAAGGAACAATCCTGGTCACATCTGACAGAAAAAAAAATCCACCGCTCCCAGCATTCCCTAGCCAGCCATGGTGACCTGGGGAATGCTGGGAGCTGTGGGAATTTTTTCCCCCTGTCTAAACACCCTGCCTAGGGTTGTACCTCAAGGGGCTGAGCCTTCACCCGGAGGACTGGGGCTGGGCTCAAACGGAGCCCCCTTTCTCCCATTCCTTCCACAGCAACTCACCTTCTCGGTGGAGTAGCCGCCTTCCCGCACGGTCTTTGCCAGACGTTGCACATGATGTGTCACTCCGACCACCTATGGCTCAGCGAGGGAGAAAACAGAAAGCGGCAATCAAAGAGGGAAGCGGGAAAGACCACCAAGGACAAAACCAGGGGCAAAGCACAGAGTGACGGGAGAAACCGACACACGTCTCACCTGCTCTTGGAGGGACTTCAGCAAGGCCAGCGCGGCAGGAAGGTCCGCGTCTACCCTCTCCTGCAACATTGAGGACAACGAGAAGGAAAAGAATTAAGTTTCCGTATTTATTATTTATTTATTTAGGAGGCTTCTATGCCGCCCCATTCGCCGAAGCTTCGGGGCGGCTCACAACCATAAATAAACTTCAAAATAGAATAATATAAATTAACAATATAAATTAAGTCGTACTTTGTGCTTTCCGTACTTTGGACCAGCCCACACCCAAGAGCAAATGATGTGCTTCGGCACTGAGCTTTCCCCAAAGCTTAAAGTCCTTTTGTTCAGAGACAATGCCTCGAATCTAGACGGCCACAAAGTCAGCCGAGCCTCAGGCCCCAAAACACCCTGAACTCCAACCCAAAGCACACCACTTTCTTCCTCCTACAGACTTCAATCCACGGATTTCATCCCAGGTTTTAAGTTAAAAGCATGAGAAGACAGTTCGTACTGTGGTTATTTATTTATTTATTATTTTATTAAAACAGTTCTATGCTGCCCCATTCGCTGAAGCCTCAGGGCGGCTCACAACATAAATTAAAATACAAGAAATAACAATATAAAATAAGTCGCCCTGGTTACACTGCGTGTACACTAACACATTGAAAGAACTGGATTAAAATAAATACAATTATTTTTATCCCGCTCCTTGGCCAGAAAGGCTCCAGGAGCAGCACAGAAGCCTTTGGTTAAACAAGCCACTGCTCATAGGCTTGTCTGCCGTTGACCAGGACTGCCTTGAAAGGGGATTTGGGAGGCTGCCTTTCTGAGCATACAGCTCCAATTCATTTCCCCCCACGCTGCTGACTCTCAAGTCATTTCCAAGCGCAACTGAAAGGACTGGTTCTTAACTATACTGCTGTCAGGATATTTGGAAGAGCACCTCTTGTCTTCACCTGCCTTCCCATATCATGGACTTCGCTCTGCAGACAAACTCCTTGGCAGGTGCGTCCAGCCAGGGTGCAGAGCAGGGCCTTTTCTACTGAAACACCCTCACTGTGGAACCTCTTCCTAAAGAGGGTTCATTACAGGCCAACCCCCGCTTCCCCAGCACCAGTTTTAGTCAAGTTGTTAATCCCACTTTATTTTGCTTTTGCAATCTCCCTCACCAATTGTGCTCTGGTTCTTTCATTCTGCTCCTGAGTTGTGCATTCACTGAAATTGATTTTTATTCTGGTATAACTCTTATTACAAGACGTTCTCACGGCTTTTGCAGGACTAAAAAGCAGTAAAGAACATCTCCTTACACAGAAATAAAACTCGTATTTTCCTGGGTACCCTCATCAAGACAGTTCTGCCCTCTGACTGCCATGCCATGTAATCCAATCTTTCTCCCAGCCCCCATTTTATTCTACAATTGCTGCTTTGTTTCCCAGCTTGCTCTCTCTAAAATCAATGCCCTCCCGCTGGCTCGCCTATCTATCCCTGCCAGATTTCCTGCTGTCTTTCAACCCTCTCCAATCCATCCCCTCTCTCCCCGACTACCCTTCCAATCTTCTCCACACCCCTGGGGCACACTCCAAAATGGGCTGAGACCAAAAAGATCGCCTACAGCTCCCAGCTGGCCCTTAATCTTGTTTTCCTCCCCTTTTCCAGGTTTTCCCTCCCCCGTGTATATTCTGCCCACCCCCGCACCGCACACAATACATTTGGGGCATAATTCTTGGTACAGTTAGTTAGAAAAATAAAATCCCCCAACTTCCAGCATTCCTCAGGCAACGGTAGGACTTTTTTCCTATCTAAACAAGCAAAGGGGCTGTTCCGCTAGGTCTCCCACCCTTCCCCATATCCTGCCGACCAAGTCTAATTCCTTTCCCCCGTGTCTTTCCCTCCCACCCAGGGTCAGCTCCGCAACCCTAGCAACAATTACATGGGAGTAAACCCCTGTGAATTCTCTGGGGCTTGCTTCCAATGAACCACACATAAAATGCGGTGCTAATTTCTAACACAAGAGACAACGTCTGATCTTTTATTCATATTTTGTTAATTTTTGCATTTAGCTGATAACCCAGAATATTAACTTTAAGCGACTTCGCCCTACTAGTCTTTCATCCTTATTTAACCCGCATCCACCGCCACCAACAAGCTTTCTCGACTCAACTCTTTTTATTGCCTGATCCTTCTTAACTTTTTATCCCAACGGGAAAAGAAATCAGCATTTCAGATGTTACGCATCCAAGCGCAACTCGTATCTCTACACGTTCAACAAAGAGAAAGATCAAATACTAATAATCCTCAATAAAGTAAGGGGAAAGGATCCAAGTGAGGAAAAGAAAGGAGAGGAAAGAAATGCAGGGCGTTTAGAAATAAAAGAAATATACCCTCGAGTCGCCCCTATTCTGCCAAGGCCCCATCTTCCGTCCTAACCCCAACCCTTGTGGGTTTGCTTGAGGCTACCCAGCGAACAAAAGAATGCACTCTGCACATGCTCCTAAGTGCCCCTGCCACAGAGATGCGTGCCTCTGCTTGTCTCTCTAGCATCCCCCCACGCACGCTCGCCGGCTTCTCACCCGCAAGTCCAGAAGCTCGAGGGACCCAGGCTGCCCCTCCGCCATGACCACCACCACGATTCCCACGTGGAAGGGAAACAGGCTCCCCTTATCCGGAGGACCAAGCCCACCTGCTGCGAGAGCATTGGCCAATCCGTGGAAAACTTCCGCCTTGGTAGCAGCCGCAACGGACCAATGGTTGAGAGACCTCCTCCTCCCCGAAGCTGCTTTAGCCAATCACACAAGATCATGGGCGGGATTTGCATGAGGCGGAGCCGGTGAGGGAAAGGGTCTTCGACGACTTCCGCCTCTTCAAAGGGCTTCCGCCAGTTACTTAGAAAACAACCAATAGGCTTTAAAAGCCCGCCTCCTGCGGAGGAGGCTTGGCCAATGAGGTAGCGAGATGGGTCTTTCCCTGCTTGAGAAAGTTGGGTAATAAGAAGCAGAGCCGATCGACTCAGAAAGCCGAATTTTGTTGGGATTCCCGCCTCCCTCTGCATAGGCTAGCCAATTCAAATCTAAGCTGGGGCACGCGGGAATAATCTGGCCCAATCAGCAGCTTTCTTCTAGACCTTTACAACTCTCATTGATAAAATGTAACGTTTTGGGCTGACGTTCCCCACCTTGAGCCTGGCTCAACCTGCTGCTTTCTAGATTACAACTCCCAGCATCCCCGAACAAGCTATTCTGTAGTCCAACAGGTCTGGAGGACACCCGTCCGGGGGAGGCCGCCTGACTCTAATGGAGCCAATTCTGCAAGTGAGAAGCTTGCGGTGTAGGGTTCAGGCTGTGGGACTGGACTTAGGAGATTGCCTCTGCTCACCACGCAGCCATGGAGCCAGCTGGGTGGCTTTCAGCCAATCACTGGCTCTCAGCCCAGCCTACCTCCCAGGGGTGGTGTGAGGAGGATGAGTTTTATGTAAATCGTACAGAGTTCCTTGGAAGGAGAAAAGGCAGGACATAAATACAGTAATAAATACAAATAAGATTAGAGCAAGAGCCATCTCCAACAGCATCCTGGACAACCAGTGTCTCATGGGATCTCTCGGGCAGAACTGGTGTACCTCTGAAACAGAAGTAGCCTGTAGCCATCAGGACTAGTAGCATGGATATTTATTTATTTACTTATTCTACTTATCTCCATTGTGGAACGCAATGTGGCCACATACAATTTGCAGGTGGTTTCCCTGTTCAAGCACAGGCCAACTCCAGACCTTCCTAGCTTCAACATATCCTTCTCCTCTCCTATCAATCACTTTTAAAGCCATCCAGATTGTGGGCGTCAGGACAAATTCCAAAGTCACTCTGCCCTATGGGAAGAGGTACCTCCTTTTACTTGTCCTGAATGTTGCACACATCAGCTTCATGGGATGACCGCTTTGAATTCTAGGATTATGTGAGAGGTAGTAAAATTTCTCCCAATCCCTTTTTCCTTAGGGAGATATTTTACTCCTTCTCACATCATTCCTTACCGGGAATTGTGTTATACATCTGTCATGAGTCTGCTTTTTTTGGAAGCTAAACAATCCCAGATACTGTAACCTCCTCTCTGAGGGAAATTATTCCAGCCCTTTGGTCATTTTAGTTGCCTTTTTCCCAGCTCGACACTTCTCTTTTTAGGTGTGGTGACCAGAAAGTCACACACTTCTCTAAGTGTAGTGACACGATACCTTTGCATCAAAAGAGTATGGTACTGGCAACTGTTTTCCGTTCTGTCCTCTGTTTTCCGTTCTGTCCTGCTTATGCTGAACTGGCATGATTTGTGTCCTCAGCTTTCCATGCTCTTTCCCCAGCTCCAACCCTTTGGAAGCTCTTTGTGATCTCTTAACTGCTGTAAATTATTGGCGGTCATCAGCAAACCTCACCATTTCACTGCTCCTAATTCCAGATCATATGTGAATAAGTTGAAAAGCATTGGTGCTTTCCCTGCCTCATTCGTCTTTGCAAGAACCCTGTGAGGTAAGGTAGGCGAGCTCAAACTCAGCCAGAAAGCTTTGTAGCAAAGCGAGAACTGGAATGTCTCTCTCCCAGATCTTCAACTCCAGGGCCGACCACTCACCACTCTGGCTTAAATGAAGCCATCGCAACCCTGGGCTCTTCTCCTTTCACTCGCCAATTGAAGTCTGGGCCCAATTCAAGGTGCTGGTATTAATCTTGTTGTTGTTAGTCGTGAAGTCGTGTCCGACCCACCGCGACCCCATGGACAACATTCCTCCAGGCCTTCCTGTCTTCCACCATCCCCCGGGGTCCACTCAAGCTCACACCCACTGCTTCAGTGACCCCATCCAGCCACCTCATCCTCTGCTGTCCCCTTCTCCTTTTGCCATCTATTGTTCCCAGCATCAGGCTCTTCTCCAGGGAGTTCCTCCTTCTCATTAGGTGGCCAAAGTATTGGAGTTTCATCTTCAGGATCTGGCCTTCTAAAGAGCAGTCAGGGTTGATCTCCTCTGGGACTGACCGGTTTGATCGCCTTGCGGTCCAAGGGACTCGCAGGAGTCTCCTCCAGCACCACAATTCAAAGGCCTCAATCCTTTTGCGCTCAGCCTTCCTTATGGTCCAGCTTTCACAGCCATTCATTGCAACCGGGAAAACCATAGCCTTGACTATATGCACTTTTGTTGGCAGGGTGATGTCTCTGCTTTTTAGTATGCTGTCTAGATTTGCCATAGCTTTCCTCCCAAGGAGCAAGCGTCTTTTAATCTCTTGGCTGCAGTCCCTGTCTGTGGTGATCTTGGAGCCCAGGAAAATAAAATCTGTCACTAGGTATTAATCTATAAAGCCTTAAACGGCTTAGGCCCAGAATACCTGAAGGATCTTCTCCTCCCCTATATGCCCTTACGCCCCTTAAGATCAGCGGGGGAGGCCTTGCTCTGGGAACCCTCCTTGAAGGAAGTCTGGGTGTCTACCCAGAGGAGGGCCTTCTCCGCAGTGGCACCCGGACTATGGAATATGCTCCCCAGAGAGGTCTGCCTGGCGTCGATGTTATACTCCTTCCGGCACCAGATAAAGACCTTTTTATTCTACCATCATTTTAATAATCAAGGGTTTTAGATGCTTTAAGATTTTTTTCCTCTGTTTTCACAGTCGCATTTTCTATTTCCTATTTTTTCTATTTTCTATGTTTTCCGTTCTTTTCTTTTAGTTTATAATGTTCAGTTCTATATGTTTTTAACAATTGTGGTTTTATTATTGCATTTTATACTATTATACTATTTTATACTATGTAAACCATCCTGAGCACTTGCACGGAAGGACGGGATATAAATAAATGTTTGTTATAAATAAATAATAAATATTATTTATTATTGTTTATTATGAACTTCTGTAAAGCCAATTCTAATGCTCATTTTGCTTTGTCTGGAAAATTGGCTGCTGTCACCCCCACGGCTTTTGATAAGTGAGCAGCCCGGTGTTACCATAACCAGCCATTTTTTACGAACTGCATTTTTAGTAGAAGCCAGGAACACTTTTGGCACAGAAACAACTTGCAGAGGAGCAGCCTCACCAAAAACTATCAAGAGCTTCGTGGCACCTTGAAGACAAGACCGTTTTTCCTGGCATCCGCTTCCCTGCACACCGAGGCATCTGCGGAAGTCGGCTGCGTTCACCAAAGCTTTCACCAGAAGTAATTTTTTTGGTGCCACGAGATTCTTTGCTATTGTTTTTCTGCTGAGACGCTCCAATCCAGGAACGGCAGATCTGTGGGGCACCCAGCCTGAGGCTTCATCAGTGCCCTGGTTGGCCTTGCTCTTGGTTCCCTTTGCCAGGGATTCCAGCTGGCAGGACAATAGCCAGGTACAGATGGGAAAGCCCAGCTGAGAATGCCCGGCAAGGATTGCCCAGCACTGGCACATGTCTGGAACAATAGGAAAGTGAGGTCAGCCCCCGGAACGGAAGCTCATAAAACAGCAGACACACAGACAGAGAGAGAGAGAGAGAGAGACAATGGGATTCTAGGCATGCCTTCCCTCACTTCCCCCTTCCCAGGAATCTGGCACCGATGGTTGCAAACAATGGCTTCGCTGCCCGCTTTCCCACCCCATCGCATGGCCCAGCTGACCTCTCCCACCCCTCCCCATTGGCCCCGTGCCTGTCCTTCCCCGGGTTCACTCCCCTCCCAACCCCGTCTCCCCAATCAGGAGATGCCATGTTACCCCCAGCACCTCCCCACTCTCAGCCAGGCGGCAGAAAGCAGGGCCACGCTCTCCCTCGGAGGCTCCCGGAGGCTCTCTGCTCTGCCCCACTGCGCTCTGTCCATGGGCACTTGCTGAAATTAAGTCTGGGGTGCGGAGGATTTCTGTTGCATCTGATCCCGCCACCCCCCGCCCCCAGATCTGCTGGCTCTTGTTCCACTTATGCTTTGCCATCTGCCGTCCCCAGCCTCGAATCTTTCTGCAAATGTGATTTTTCTGAAGTCAAATGTCCCCCGTCCTCAGTCTGTAGACTGAATAGGATCCAGACTGGATACTTCTGCACCTTATGGGCTTAAGATCGTCCTGTGAGCTGCAGCCCTGATCTTTTCGGTACCCACTACCACTCTGGATGCTGGGTGATGGGAAGCAATGAAGCCAGGGCTCAAGGAAGGAGTCACAAACAAGCCCTGACTACTTCGGTATTTATCTGTTTGTTCTGTAGCACTTCCTTGGGTAGAGATGAGGTTTGCTGGTGCTTTGGGCCAAATCCTCTGTTCTCCAATGGTGGCAGGCCAGGGCCTGGATTTCAAGGGCCAGTCTGGTCTTCTTTTTATGGAGGGTCATCCTCAGTTTCCCCAGTTGTAATTTACGGTGGTGAGAGTTGGGCCATAAGGAAGGCTGAGCGCTGAAGAAGGGATGCTTTTGCATTGTGGTGCTGGCGGAGACGCCTGCGAGTCCCTTGGGCTGCAAAGAGATCAAATCGGTCAGTCCTAGAGGAGATCAGCTATTTGAAGCTCAGATATTTTGGCCACTTGATGAGAAAGAACAATTCATTGGAGAAGAGCCTAATGCTGGGAACAACTGATGACAAAAGGCGAAGGGGACGGCAGAGGATGAGGTGGCTGGATGGGGCCACTGGGGCGGTGGGTGTGGGGCTGGGTGGACTCTGGGGGATGGTGGGGGACAGGGAAGCCTGGAGGAATGTTGTCCATG